TTTACCAAGGGACTTCGCTTACAAGGGTTCGAATCTTTTTTAGCTCTTTTCAGTTACAACCAAGCATGCAGTGAATAACCTTCCTAGTTAACTTAAAGTAAAGTTTTGTTATATTTAATATAATAACTATATAGTTTTCGTAGATCAGTCTTTTTGAAAAAGTTGGTGTGAGGGATCGTCAGAAAGAGTTGATTTACAGTACAATATCTTAGGTTTCATTTTGTTCAAGATAAGTAATAATATTTAATTTTTCTTTAATGTTCTATTTTCTTTTTAATTTTCGTGTTATACAGGCTTTAGAAATACTTTTATTACTTGAAATTAGCATTTTTTTTTATTAGAAAAAATTAGGCTGTCAATATCATTTATCATTTATATATTACAAAAAAAAAAAATTTTTTTTGTTCTTATAATTCTTATAACTACAAAAATTTATTGTCTTTACAGATGCATACAATTATATTATAAAAAATAAAAAAAAAACTCATCACACAAAGACAAAATTTTGATAATTGTACTGTCTAATGTTTGTTAGCTGTCGTTAGCTCAATAATTGCGAGACAAGAAAATAAATTTCAAATAAAAATTCTATGTTTAATGTTTGTTTAAAATTTCAATATCTAATGTTTGTTAATTTGAAAGCCAATCATTTTCTTAATAAATGTGATTGTTTCATAATGATGCACAAGCTATTAATTTGATATGCACCATGATAATATCCGCACAATCCGACAGGGGGGGTGGTTTAGCCCGCGAAATACGGTAGTCTAACTTACCCTTATGCTAGGAACTATAAACCTATACCCGAACTTGAATTATTAGGATTTTATACTTGCATGATCTGAACTATTGAATTCTGATTATGGTTTGAAGTTACGTTTGTATAAAACCATATGCATTATATAACTGATATTTGTTTTTGTAAAGTTCAGTTTGACAGTTAACAGTTCAACAATAAATGACGAGTAATCGTGTCTTCATACACGCATACCTCAAGCACTTGATTGGATAAATAATAAACTTGTTATTTGACTACTTTTATCTTCATATACATTTATCTGGACTTACAAGAGGTAGTTCCGGGTGTAACAACACGAAAAGTTGTTTTGATAAAACCTGACACAAAATTCTTGTGTGCATTTACAATACTCCTGCATAATAATTTATTGCACCTCCCCTCGGGGCCATAAGACAAATTTTTAAAAAATGGTATTTAAAGAGGATGTGTATTTATAGAGGGCATTTTCCTTATGCTTCTATAGAGCATAAGTATATTTAATTGCAAGTTTTTATAAAATAAGCACAAAACGATTATTAGTGAAATAATACCCGTCGATGAAAATGGTTGGAAGTTGACTAGGGCTTTTTTTGAAGTTTCCAAAATGCTAGCTACAACTTCCGAAAAAAGTCCGCGGACAGGCTCTAGAGTTGATCCTAATTTTATGTAGAATTTTATGTAATAACTTTATTAATCAACTTGTAACCAATAATTAGATTTAGAAACAAAACAATCTCGTATTACTACACGTAATAATAATTATAATAATTATAAAAAATTTAAAAATGGTAAGATTCAAAATTATTTTTGAATTCAATGATCATTTGACCGTAGTAAAAATCTTACCCCTGTAATCCGCATGACTGGCATAATTTTTAATCAGGGACGGTGAATACTATCAAATCACTAATTTTTGTCATAACGATAACGTTAAATGTTTTAAATGTAGGATCATGACATTCAATGCATCTTTTTCACCAAAACTTCTATCTATTCCATTAACCGAAAAACAATTTGAAAAATACTATTTTTATTTCATTCTATATGTCAAATGAAAGTATTCACCCATCCCTTATTTGAATTTTAATGTATAATTAGATAAAGAATTGGTTGATTTGGGTTAGTAAAAGTACACATCAGGGAATGCGATTTCCGATAACCAGTAGTAATTTAAATTTTTAATAGCAATAGAAATTTGAGCACATAGCATATAGTGCACAAATTTTTAATAAATTTAAATTATGATTAGTCTTAGAATATTGAATATCTCTTTTTAAGTGCCATACAAAAATCAGTTTGGCATCATATCGAATCGACTAGAACGGTCAACCTTACACGCATTTAATTACATTTAGTCACTGAGATATCAATTTACGGAGACTTGTCCGAAAAGATCAGAGTGACCAGCTATTTCTAGTATAAATATCGATATTACGACAACCTAACTAAATTCGACGAAACTGTTTTATTTTAATTCTATATGTTTATAAATAAAACTAAGAAAAAGTTTATTGAATTTAGTTTGGTTGTTTTCATAATATCCCTAGTGCTATTTTAGATGTTAGAAATAGACAGATATTCCAGACAGGATGAATGGTTAATCAATTTACAGATTTTCCCTTCCGTCATATTTCTCAATAATTAGTATTTAAATTTATATGGTTCATTTATCAGCGTCAGAAGTATAATAAACATAAGGATAAGGGTAAACCTTACCACAAAAAGATCTTATCTCTGCAACTTTAATTGACATAATAAAACCTATATAGTTTCAATATATCAGCTATTTTCTTTTCGATAAATAGCCCTTTCTTAATGAAACTCAAAATAATCAATACTCTCTTAAACTCTATCTTGCATAAATGTGGCACATATATAAGTTATATGTCGGTAAATAGTTTCAAACGGGTATGCACGCTTTAAACATATTTGAAACGAATAAGGAGATACATACCGAATATAAATATTATATATTTGATTATAATATAGACACTAAAAGGTCAAGTGTGTATCATGTGTAAGAGCCTTGATCGACAATGTAACTTTTAGAATTTGTGTTCTTATTTGTGTGATGCACAACATCTAATATTAAAATACTAATACTTCATGAACAGAATAGGAATTTTAATGTTAAGAATTCCCGAATACTAGATAACTTGTCTCTGTTTCTGTATATTTGTATGGCGCAGCCTTGCATTTAGAATTATTATTCTTTTATTAGAATAAAATAGAGAATCTTGTAATCCTGTTCTTGCCATGTAGCATTGTTCATTTCTTCAATCTGTATTACTATATTTTAAAGCACTCGATCATAATTAATTAATTAATTATATCTTATTCTACTTTTTTCTCGACAAAAAGATCTAATAATATTAAAGATTGGCAAGATTCGGTAACCAATCGGGTATAGGTTTATGTTACGTCTACCCCCTTATTCACCCCATTCGCTCGCAATTTGTCGATTATATACAAACACCTAATTATCCAATTTCAGCCGTTTCGGGTTGCAAACCTGTTGTATTTACACAATTTTACTTATTTGTAATTGTCTAATTATTATGTTTATTCCCTTTTTTTTTAAAAAAAAAATATTAATTATTTTATATTCTTACAAAAAACATTACTGCTTCCTCAGAAAATCCTGCTTGTGCTGGATATCAAATTATTGGTATATAAATACTATAGATACTACCCTCTCCTGTAGTATCACCCTGAATCGTCTCAGTACTTTGACAGTGCTTTGTCGATTTTAGCCCCGATCTTTTATAATTTTTTTCGTTCTTTCCTCCTTTCTTTGCCCCCCTCCCCTCTCGCTCCTTTAATCTCCTTGTAAATTTTCTATTAGACATTTCTGGAAAATGGCTGAATCTTTCTCTTCAAGATTATCAAAAGAATTCACTCTTAAACGTCTTACATTTTGGATTTTTTGGTTCGGATCTCACATAGGTTTATTCATTCTCGGTTTCTATAAGCAAAAGGATGACAGATCTTTAGACAACCTTAATGTTCTCGGTCTCTCCGTATGGACCTCTCGTGGTGCTGGTTTATGTCTTGCCTATGATGGCGCTCTCATCCTCTTACCAGTCTGCAGAAATATTATAAAAAATTTACGTGCTTTAAGTTTTTTAAATAAATTTATTCCATTTGATGAAAATCTTTGGTTCCATCGTCAAACCGCTTATTCTTTGCTCCTTTGGACTTTAGTACATACTTTTGCTCATTATGTTAACTTTTGGACTTTGGAACAGCTTGGCAAATTCCAAGCTTGGCAACTTCACTATACTACTTGGGCTGGTCTTACTGGTCATTTTATGTTACTCATGATGGTCCTAATGTATACCTCTGCTCACCATAAGATGCGTCACCAATCTTTCGAAACCTTTTGGTACACTCATCATCTCGCCTTCTTTTTCATGCTTTGTTTATATTTCCATGGTCATGGTTGTTTTGTAAAAACTGCTCAAGGTGAATGTAAAGGTTACCTTTCTTGGCGATTTACCATCGTTGGTGGTATTTTATACTTTTTTGAGCGTGTCCTACGTGAAATCCGTGCTCGTCAACCAACTCAAATTATAAAAGTTATTGCCCATCCATCAAAAGCCTTTGAAATTCAATTTGATAAACCTTCTTTCCGTTATAAGGCCGGTCAATACTTGTTCTTAAACGTACCTGCTATTTCAACTTGGCAATGGCATCCATTCACAATCACTTCTGCTCCTGATGATCCTTATGTTTCTGTTCATGTTCGTCAAGTTGGTGATTTCACTAATAAATTTGGTGAATTACTTGGTTGTGATCCTGATTCTAAACAATTTGCTCCCGCTGTTCTGCCTACTCTTCGTATTGATGGCCCTTATGGTACTCCTGCTGAGGATGTATTTAAAAATGAGATTGTCGTT